TTTTTTGCTAGTTTCAGCCCGACGCAGTTGTCATTTTCATGTCCTGCGCCACGTTGTTTAAATAGCAAATGCATTTGCGCCCATTTGTGCGCTTATGGGCGTGCTGGTCTGAAAACGAGGTGTGTTCAGGCGCATTGCTGGCTCGTTGCTATTTTGAGGCAACTGAAATAGACTGCGCCATTGACCAACAAAAACCTGCTCTAAAGTCAATGGCGCAGTAGTTTTTTTTATATTTAAAGAGCGCGTTAGTATAGGCGGGTCCACATCACGCGTACACTCCCTCACACACAGGGACGCACAGCAGCACACAAACATGCCAAATATTAAAAATTAAAGGATTGCAATGTAAAAGATTATTATTGTGTAGGCTACATAAATGTAAACATGCCTACATGTCATAATGGATAGTCATTGTATGTATCAGAATTAGGCTACCTATTTGCTCGCGCACGAGCAGCTCCGTTTCATCCCTGGAGACACGTTCTGTCTTTGCGCTTGCAAATTCCGCCGTGTAAATAGCAAATACGCCATGGCACGAGCGCAACTGGCTCTTAAATTTAGTGGAGGGATGTTCTACTTTATGGGAGAAAGACCCAGTGAAAGGACGCTGCTATCAGGTCGTCTCCACAGCGGTGGTGACCTGGCACGAGGCGCGGGATGCCTGTCGTAGTCAAGGCGGAGATCTGCTCAGCGTGTCTAGCCCTCAAGAGCTTGAGTTCTGTAAGACTAATTTCTCATTTTCACTTTTGGACTTTGATCTTGTTGTGTTATGGGTTGGGAGATGAGACTCTTATTGAAGTGGGGTATGAGTGGTTATGAACGAGTGAATGAAACGCATCTGTCCGTGTTTCACTCCGTCTCGAATCGTGCTCGCGGAAAGCGCTTGAGAAACAGTGTCTCTTTCGCGGCTCGGTACGCTTTCAACTCATTTTTTTAGTCTGGAGCAAGACTGTACGACATTCACATTACATGATTTGACTGATTTTTACGTAGAAAGGGCGACAGTGCACCGCATTAAAATAAATGATCATTCATGTTTTCGTAACCGCTGGCCAAATTAAAAAACTAAACTAAAATTAAATCATCTTTGAGAGCAAGGGGGCCCCTTGGTGTTTTGGGGGCCCTACGCAGCTTGCGTATTTTGCGTATAGGGAGGATCGGCTCTGGATGCAGACGACTTGACCACAAACATTTATGAACTATAACAACTACCAATGTTTAAAAAATAGCTAATTTAGTGTCAACATTTCATTAAAGATTAGAGTTTACTACTTCAAAATCATAGTAAACCATGCTTTTTTAAATAGATTAATATTCTTACGGTGTTAATGCAACGCGGCGTTAGGCAAAGAAATATTTATTTTTATTATATTTATTCCTATTTAATATTTCTAGATGTATATTACGTACATTTTTAATTTCATTTTACTTATGTAACTTTTCTAGAAGTATATTATGTGAAGTTTTTTATTTAATTCTACTTTTATTCAGTTTTTCTAGATGTACATTATGTAAAGTTTTTATTTACAAAATACTTATTTAATTTTTCTTCACATACATTACATTCAGTTTTTATTCAGTTCTGCTTATTTAATTTTTCTATATATATATATATGTTAAGTTTGAATTTACTTCTAATTATTTAATTTTTCTATATGTAAATTATGAAAATTTGTATTTAATTCTACCTTTATTTAATTTATCTACATGTATATTACATGAAGTTTTTATTTAATTCTACTTATCTATTTTTTCTATATGTATATTATATAATTTTTATTTAATTCAACTTATTTAATTTTTCTAGATATATAGTTATTTTTAATTCTGCTTATCTAATTTTTCTAGATGTAATTATGTGAAGTTTTTATTTAATTCTCCTTATTTAATTTTTCTTGATATATATATGATGCTAAGTTTTAATTTACTTCTAATTATTTAATTTTTCTATATGTATATTATGTTAAATTTGTATTTAAATTTTACCTTTATTTAATTTTTCTAGATGTATATTACATTAAGTTTTTATTAATTCTACTTGTTTGATTTTTCTAGATGTAATTACGTGAAGTTTTTATTTAATTCTACTTATCTAATTTTTCTAGATGTATATCTCAAAGTTTTTATGTAATTCTACTTATTACATTACATTTTAAATTCTGCTTATTTAGTTTTTATTTAATTCTATTTAATTTCTCTCTCTCTCTCTCTGTATATATATATATGTGTGTGTTATGTTAAGTTTTAATTTACTTCTAATTATTTAAGTGTATATTATGTTAAATTTGTATTTAATTCTACCTTTATTTAATTTTTCTAGATGTACATTAAGTTTTTTTATGTAATTCTACTTATCTAATTTTTCTAGATATATATTTATTTTTAATTCTGCTTATTTAATTTTTCTAGATGTATATTGCATTTTAAATTCTGCTTATTTAGTTTTTATTTAATTCTACTCATTTAATTTCTCTCTCTCTCTCTCTATATATATATATATAATGTTAAGTTTTAATTTACTTCTAATTGTTTAATTTTTCTAGATGTATTATGTTATGTAAAATTTGTATTCAATTCTACTTATTTAGTTTTAATTTAATTCTACTTAATTTTTTTCACTAGATGTATATTACGTAAATTTTTTACTTAATTCTACCAAGAGGATGTCATCAGTAAAGGTCTGTTTTTAAATGCTTTTTGCCGCACAGAGAGTGTTTGTGATTCCAGCCGGAAACCAGTCACACATCCCTTATTCCAGAGTCAACCACAACAAATACCTGGTGACGGATAAAGTGGCGTATGTCGGTGAGTTACGGCCCGAAGACTCAAACTAAACACACAGATGCTGAACTGAACTGAAACTAAACCTGTTTGTGTTCAGGCACGTCTAACTGGTCAGCTGACTACTTCAACACCACAGCCGGCGTGGCTTTGGTGCTTTCCCAGGACGCTTCGGGAAGCTCGTTCCATCAGCAGCTGAGAGCCGTGTTTGACAGAGACTGGAGCTCTCGATACTCTCATCCGCTCGCTGACCTCCACCGAATCCACGACTGCGCTTTCTCCACGTCTGCACCCTCTCAGCATGAAACCTGAAATACTCATATATCACGTGCATGTTAAACAACTGTAACAAGTCTCTAAATAAGAGAACTTCTGTATGTTTAAAGAAAAAATGAGTCTCTTGCACAGTACAGTTAAATCAATAATACATTGAATAGATAATAGAATAGATGTAGCATTTCAGTGCTTTAGCTTGAATATATATCAAAGTTATTAGGACAGTTTTATGGCAGAGATGTTGAAATATTCTGTAAATTCTGCTCTAGAATGTATAAACAAATGCTATATAGATATATATTTCACAATCTTTTCTGTCAGCATTTTTCTCCTCAAATAGTCATAACATTTAAAAAATTGAATTACAATGAAAATATATACATTTTCACTTTTTTTTACTTTATATAATTTCATAATCGTTTTGTCAGTATTTTTATAAAATGTAATAAAATATATATATAATATATTCTTCACTTTTTACTTTGTGTGTGTTTTATAATATAATAAATATATTTTAATATTATTATAAATGTAGTATTATAAAAATGTGTGTTATATAATAATGTAAAATATATTAAATCTAATTTTTACATGTATATATCTAAAGAAAAAAGTGAAAAGTATATATAAAATATAAGTTTTCACTTTTTTTACTTTAATATATAGAGTTTCAAAATCTTTTTCAGTATTTTTCTCCTCAAATAATTATAACATTTAAAAAAAGTTCAAATTAAAAAATATATAAAATATAATTTTCACTTTTACATATGCGTTTATATTCTTACCTATGTATATATGTTATATATAAATTAAATGTGTATTTTATAATATTATAAATGTAATAAGATTATAAAAAATATGTGTAAGTAAAAAATTATTTATATATAAAATATATTTTTCACTTTTTTACTTTAATATGTTAAGTAAAAAAGTGAAAAATTATTTATTATATAATATTTTGCATTATTATAT